GGGCCTGCGTGGGTTTTCTCCGGGTACTCTGGCTTCCTCCCACATTCCAAAAACATGCATGGCAGGCTGATTGAACACTCTAAATTGTCGCTAAATGTGAGTGTGAGCGTGGATGGTTGTTCGTCTCTGTGTGCCCTGTGATTGGCTGGCAACCGGTTCAGGGTATTCCCCGCCTACTGCCCGAAGACGGCTGGGATAGGCTCCAGCAATCCCCACGACCCTTGTGAGGATAAAGCGGATCAAAAAAATGGATATTGTAGTTACTGAGTCAGGTGATGTGTAACAATCTGACCTGTCAAACAAACGCAAGTCTCGAATAAACGCTGCAGTCGCACCGGCTGTAAATGGATGGCTGGTTGGATTTAACTTTTAACTGTGTCCTCATCGTTTTTTGCCCTCTTTAGTTCATGTTCTCCCTCAGAAGTGGTTTTTGCCCGGCGTTTGTCACGAACCGATTCAAGGACGTTCTCTTTTGTTGGCTTTTAACAATCCTTCGAAAATGTCCTCGGCAAACATCAGCATAGTGAGCCATTGCCCGACTAGTGAATACTTTTTCTGGGTGATTCCCATTTACATAAAACTATCGTAACGCCTCATGGCCCGAGGGGCGAATGACGAGGACGCTGCATTGGCACCGATCTATCACTATCTTTATCTATCTACACACACAGACACATTCGATAGAGATCCCTCTTAGCCAATGGGATGCCAGGAAGATGCTGGGTAATAGCCAATGGCAGAGCAGATATAAGTATGTTGCGTTCAAGAAACTCGGAGCTGCGACTAGCATGGCAGACTGTATTTTTACCTTTCGTATCTTGAAATTTCTTTCGTAACAAGAGGCAATATTTTCCAATTGAGGCGTTTCCTAACTTGAAAATTTCGTATGAAGAGACATTCGTAAATAGAGGTACCACTGTATATGAAATAGGACAAACAAGCTTCATGTTATAGGTCACAATGCAGACAATGTCTTCATAAAAGTATCCATCTCTCATTTTGTATTCTTGCCCTCTTTCCAGTCGATTGTGTTGGGCTTAAATCGATCAGACTACATGTGGGACCAGAAGGATGGACACACCTCTCTGAAACAGATCGAAATCAACACCATTTCTGCTGGTGCTGGAGGTGCCGCCGCACGGATGACTGATGTACACCGGTAACGTACAAAGTAGTTGACAAAATGTAACCTCAAAATACTGAAATATGTGCAAATAAGGCTTTTGGATTAAAATATCCAAAAGCCCTTGAGAATCTGAGCAAAAAGGACCATCGAAAAATGGGCCACTGATGTCGCCCATAGGCGGTTTTCCAGGGTGGCAAGGAGTGGCACTTGCCACCTCAACCAAATTCTTTGCCACCCCTGTTGGCAATGAATCTTTCAATCCTAAATTCAGCATTTTATTGTAAACCTTCTTTCTATTGTCTCCATTTGTTTGCACAGCCATGCTGGCAGGATAGTAGCAGAAGCAGGCGTAGGATTCACAATGGAGAGCAGTGATAAAATTAGTGCTTATAAGCCAACATTCCGCGGATGTGAATTCACATCTTACTTTGATGAAAATGACAAAATGTGATACATGGGCATGCTGGAAAGGTTAATATTATAGATCCCTATTAAGTGCCAGGATTGCTTGTTCCAACTATCATGATGTCAGATGGGGAGAAGTTGTCCTGCGCTAACACACAGGCTTGGAAGGTTTGGAAGTTTATATTATGAGCCGTTGCATGGCTTCGTCTTTGAAACACGCAAAACGCATGCAGGGCAGGGAGTAGTCCTGGCGGGCAACGGCGGGTGGCCCAGCGGCAATCTGGAAACCACCCGCCCGAATGCCGGCGCAAGGCTGGAGTCCCGCGCCTCGGCCGAAGTGGCCGCTCGACGTGCTTATATTTTGGTTTCCGAACTCAGCGAGTCGCCCCCGGAGCCAAACTGAACTAAAAAACTCAAACCAAGCACCGGGCGGAATGGCCCATTGCTCACCCCGTTGTGAAACAAAGCAAACGTACTGGATGAATAAAGAGTACATAAACACCAATACAAGTGTTTATTTTCATTTTCTTCAGTGCATTGCTTATTTTTCGTGTTAAAAAGCTGCTTTGAAAATGGCTTGTGCTTATTTTGATTTTTTGAAGATGTTTTTTTTTTTTTTTTAATTTTCTTTTGACCTCAGAATTTGCACTCTGTTTCTAACATTAATCTTCCTTTTTAAATTTCTGTTAATCTTGACAACAATTTTGTTTGTGTTGCTAAAACAGACACATCCTCAAGGTCACTGGACAGCTGGAAGAGAGCCAGCGCATCATTGATAACAACCCTGCGGAAGGTCTGGCCAAGGCTTTGGCCAAGGCTTGGGAGCTCTACGGATCAAGGCGGTATGTCCACTGAAAATCTTCTTAAACAACTCTTCATTGTCTAATAAAAGGTTTATAAAGAACACTTAATTTCCTCCTCATGTAGAATGGGTTTATGTAGTGGCATAGTGTTTAATAGGGGCCCTCTTGTCATTAAAGAGCGGTTGTCATGTTCCTGGTGGCGGAGAATGAGATCAATATCATGGATCAACGAGTAGTTGAGAATGAGCTGTGGAAAAGGTAAAGTGTGATTACGTAAGACCTTCACAGTATCATGCGTAACCTTGATGAAATAAAATGAAATGAATGAAACCCTTGCAGCATTGCTGCAAAATGCATTCTTGGTTCACTGACCATTTTTCATTTCATGATAATCTCGCAGTGATCAATGTGTTCCAGGAATATTGCCACCATACGAAAGCGTTTTGAAGATGTCTCCGCATCTGGAAACCTTGACAAGGACAAGAGACTGTTTGTGTAAGTGTCTTCCGTCCATTCATAGCCAACATGAAGACCTGCGTCGACTGTGTTTTGACTTGTTTTGATACATTTCTGTCCTACCACAAATTCAGTAATTGTCAAGAAGTTGCAGTCGTGTACTTCAGGTACGGCTATATGCCTCAGAACTACAAGTCTGAAAAGGTAATTACTTGAAGGTAAACCACAAAAATTTTTAATCATACGCAGGGACAATGATGAACTTGTTCGCGTCACACCGAACCGGGAAATGTTTCAGATTCCAAATATGCAGGCTCAGACAAGGTGGGATGACGAAAATATTTATTCAAGAAAAATCGCACGGACAAAGTATGAACTAAAATCGCTGGTCATAAGGAGCCAGGAGTAAACAATGCGTGGAACCAAAAGCAGTATCCACAAAATAAAATATCCAAAATACAAAAACACAGAAAAAAAATCAAGAGCAATAGTAAAATAACATTAAACAAAATACTTCCAAACAAAAATCTGTAAACAAATGAAAGTGCCTATGAATTGTATCAAGAGGTCTAGAAAATAATACTTGAAGCATGACGGTGTCCTTAAAATACACAACCAAGCTTGATAGAGTAACGAGGCACAGGTGCACCTGCTGGAGGGAAACGGCCTTCACTCCAGTTGGTGCTGGAGCACAATCAAGATAGAACATGACAGAACTTTTAACACGAGAAAGGACGTGTTTCTGGAAGCCTCCAAAATCCATATAATAACTGTGAAAGACACTTTTCGTCACTTTCACCCTCTTGACATTCAAGGGCAGGCATGTGCTTATGTACTGTAAGAATGAAGCAGGCGCCGTCGGTACGTCCGCAGCAGTCACTCATCAGGCAGGGCACGGTGAGTGCGCACCCATGCGCTCAGCGTAAAAATTGTCGTTATCATGTTTGAGAATTCGTCAAACCGCGCTGCACCTCGCTGGGCGTTCTGTCGGACCGAGGGGCATTTTCTTTAACATCAGGGAGGAGCGGGAAGGACAAACAGAGGAAGCGGCATTCAACTCGGCCAACATGCAGTTCAACTAATCTAAAGGTGCAGCTAAGCGGCACGGCGGTCGACTGGTTAGCACGTCGGCCTCACAGTGCAGAGGTGCAGGGTTGGATTCCGGCTCTGGCCTCCCTGCGTGGAGTTTGCTTCCCAAAGTAAAGCAAACCTGAAGTCATTTTCTCAGCATGAGCATAAAGATAAACCACACAGGTTTCACTTTTACCAGCTGCATTTCTAAGCTTGATAGAGTAACGAGGCACAGGTGCACCTGCTGGAGGGAAACGGCCTTCACTCCAGTTGGTGCTGGAGCACAATCAAGATAGAACATGACAGAACTTTTAACACGAGAAAGGACGTGTTTCTGGAAGCCTCCAAAATCCATATAATAACTGTGAAAGACACTTTTCGTCACTTTCACCCTCTTGACATTCAAGGGCAGGCATGTGCTTATGTACTGTATGAATGAAGCAGGCGCCGCCGGTACGTCCGCAGCAGTCACTCATCAGGCGAGGCACGGTGAGTGCGCACCCATGCGCTCGGTGTAAAAATTGCCTTTATCATGTTTGAGAATTCATCAGACTGCGCTGCACCTCGCTGGCCGTTCTGTCGGACCGAGGGGCATTTTCTTTAACATCAGGGAGGAGCGGGAAGGACAAATAGAGGAAGCGGCATTCAAATAGGCCAACATGCAGTTCAACTAATCTAAAGGTGCAGCTAGGCGGCACGGTGGTCGACTGGTTAGCACGTCGGCCTCACAGTGCAGAGGTGCAGGGTTGGATTCCGGCTCTGGCCTCCCTGCGTGGAGTTTGCTTCCCAAAGTAAAGCAAACCTGAAGTCATTTTCTCAGCATGAGCATAAAGATAAACCACACAGGTTTCACTTTTACCAGCTGCATTTCTTTGTTTCTAGGCCTGGGATGCCCGCCTGATGATGGAGTGCTCTTTGGCTGTGAAGTGTCCGGATATCAGCACCCACCTGGCTGGAACAAAGAAGGTGCAGCAGGTGCTTGCTAAGCCCGGTGTTCTGGAGCATTTCTTCCCCGATCAGCCGCAAGTAGTGGAGCAAGTGAGGGCCACCTTTGCTGGCCTCTACACTCTAGACATGGTGAGCAACAATATGGGGCTGTGCAACCTAATGCAGTTGTCGTCCACGAAAGCTCTTTTCCTCACTCAACCTTGTTGGAATGTAATACAGAAAACCGTGATCTAATGACGACTGCACGTCTCAAAGAAATCATCAACATGACTTTTTCCATTCAAGTTTAAACATTCAAATTCAGCTCACACTGTTCCATGAAGACAGGGGTTATCTTGATCTTATTTAGTGTATGTTCAACATGGCAAAGTCAGTGCATTGTCAAGTCAAATTGATTTATATCACCCTTCATCACAGAAAAGCCTCAAATGTCAAATGAGGAATGCATGGGCATCGTGAGGAGTGCTCAAAACTATTTTGACCTTGTTCTCAAAGGAGCACCAGATGCTGTTCATTGCTGCTCATTTTTATTCCTGACCCACTTACCACACTGGATAAACTTAGAGACTTAAAGTCGTGTCGTTTGCTGCTTGCCGTTTTTCAGTTGTTCAAATGAAATGAAATGAAGACCGCGTGATGAGCTAATTTGGCACAGTTCTCTACGGCAGTGGTCTCCAATCTGTTTTGCGCTACGGACCAGTTTCACAATAAGACATGTTTTGACAAGACTCTTAGCTGCACAGTAAATTCTGTACATTCACTCAAAAATTAATTTCAAGGCTCAAGACTGTGACCAAAATAGTTGCTTAAACGAGTGACCAAAACAGTTGCATATGCAACTTTTTTTTTTTTTCCAACGGATGTGAGTAAGAATCTCATCTGCTCACTTTTGTGTGAGTGCATATGTTTTAATGCTCCCTTGAACATGAAAGCCACTCTTGGAAGGCTGCTTTGGACTTGCACACAGACAGCAGATGTGAATGCATTTCCATTCAGACTACATTTTGGGGTTTTACGTCGTTGCGTGTTCCACATATACGCATTGGTACGTGCATCCTGGTCGAAAAATGAGCTGCAGGATGATCATTTTAAAAAAAACAAAAAAAAAAAAACTCTTGATGTGATTGGATAAAGACTCAAGTATCTTGTACCGATGTTTATTGACACCGCACCACATCACACCACAGACTAAAAGGTCAGACATACAACATAAGATATTAAGATTATTAACAAGGTAGTTTTGGCACTAAAGTTAATACACAATACCAGGGGTGCCCATTACGTCGATTGCGATCGACCGGTAGATCGCGGACTGGTCCCAAGTCGATGGTGAGGGGTGTAGAGGAGAAAAAAAATAAACAACCATTTGTGTGTCTTTGTGCATGTTAGTAATATATTTTTTGTGTGAACGTACACTGCACCCTAATCATCTTATCAGTCTCATTTTCACGAAGTGTTTAAAAAAATAAATAAAGCAGGTAAATCTTGAACCTACGGTGGCGTGTTTAAAAAATAAATAAATAAAACAGGTAAATCTTGAACCTACGGTAGCGCTCTGACCTGCGTCACCGGAAGTTGTTAGCGCTCAGCAGTCTGCAATTACAGCTGTGATCAGAGCTGTTGCGTGACATCTTTTATCGTGATGATTATTCTCATTCAGAGGTTAGTTTCATGTACAATTCACCAAGGGCACGGGCAAAGAATAGGAATCGAGAGGGCCGAGGGAAGCACTTTAAAACGGTACGTGTGACGGGTCGATCGCGTGAGGTTGGTTGATTGAAAAGTCGATCATCGGTCCAAAAAGTTTGGGCACCCGTCCCCTGCACTATATAAAGTAATACTGACCACTTTAGCTTGCTTCTCAACACTGGCGGTCATTCCTCAGAGTAGGGGCATCACTACGCTTTATGAAAAGGCGAGACTAGCCTCTAGAAAATGCAGCATGTGAGCAAACGCAGCAGACAAGCACAACATTAACTAATAGCCAAGAAAAATTGAGAAAATGCTTTTCGATGTTTTTTGGAGATATTTTGGTGATCATTTTCTTTCATCCAGTTGGCCATGTCATTGATATGCGTGTGATGAAATGCAGAAAGTGCGCAATGAGCAAAACCTTGTTTGTGCGCCTCCTTTGGATGTTTGCTTTTGTCACTTCTGTTTCTTGTCACTAATAGCCAAGAAAAATTGAGAACATGCTTTTCGATGTTTTTGGAGACATTTTGGTGATCATTTTCTTTCATCCAGTTGGCCATGTCATTGATATGCGTGTGATGAAATGCAGAAAGTGCGCAATGAGCAAAACCTTGTTTGTGCGCCTCCTTTGGATGTTTGCTTTTGTCACTTCTGTTTCTTGTCTCGTGTACTGATTGATGTCGACCGCCGGTTTGGTGTGTTGCAGATGTTATGTGCATATGACAACAAGAGAGATGTAATTATAGTGCATTTTGGAACATCCTCCATAGGAGACGAGCCAAAAAACTTGTTTTCTGACTACATATCAATAACTGCACTTGAGGGGCATACAATTATTTTTAACAACCATTTTGACAGCCAACTATTTTTTAACAATTATTTTTGCTGGTCTTTGAGCACGCGTCTTGTTTGGACGTCATCCGTATGTGCAAAATGCAAACACATTTTTTGGAGGCAGTTTTTTTTACAGGGCTTTCATGTGAATGTTGGAAAGCTATTATGTGCATATGACAACAGGAGAGACGTAATTATTGTGCATTTTGGAACATCCTCCATGGGAGACGAGCCAAAAAACTGGTTTTCTGACTACATACCGATAACTGCACTTGAGGGGCATACAATTATTTTTAACAACCATTTTGACAGCCAACCATTTTTTAACAATTATTTTTGCTGGTCTATGAGCATGCGTCTTGTTTGGACGTGACCCGTATGTGCAATGCAAACAAATTTTTTGGAGGCATTTTTTTTTTTTTTTTTACAGGGCTTTCATGTGAATGTTGGAAAGCTTGTTTTTTTTTTTTTGTTTTGTTTTATTGAATTAAAGGGAGCAGAAGGTGATGAAACAGTAGCGATGGCTTTGGCGACACCAGATCGGTTTGTTCTGAAGCCTCAGCGAGAAGGAGGAGGTACAGTCCAAGAAATAAAATCATTCCTTTCATCATGGAGCACAACATCTGTCCATTTTCTACCCTGCTCAACCTGTGCCTTTACCAGCGCAAAATGTCATGAGTTAGGGCTAGTACTGATATTTTTGTATGGATCGCTAAAATTGAACTTGCTCAAAAAAAAAAAAAAAAATCCAAAAACATAACCACACTTCTTTACTTCAAGGAAACAACATTTACGGACAAGAGATCTGTGAAGTCCTTGGCAAAGTGAAGGGCAGTGCGGAGCGAATGGCCTACATATTGATGGATAAGATCCAGCCCGTGCCTACACGCAACTGCCTGCTCGGAAGAGGCAAGCCCCTCAAAATAAGTTCTTGCCTAAGTGAGCTGGGCTTCTTCGGAGCCTATGTCAGGTAAGCCGTCACTATTGATTGTTACATTTTTGGAATCTTAGAATATTTGTTTCACATTGGGCGAGGAGATGAAAAGAAAGACAACAAAAGGTTTATCATGGAATGCTCACATGCCATTTTTGTACAGGCAGGGTAATGACATGCTGATGAACGATTGTGTGGGCTATCTTATGAGGACGAAAAGTTCAGAAACCTCGGAGGGGAGCGTCATTTCAGGAACTGCAGTCTGGGACAACCCGCTCCTCTTCTGAGAAGGTGCACATGTACCTGGCTTTGACACAATTCGCCGTCATTAGCCAATGTTGCACCCTCCCGATATTTCTCCGCTCTGCCAATTAGCCACGCCCACTTAATTGAAGGCTCTGATTCTGACTCTCTCATTGCCAGATTGTTCCACACTGCGCTGATGCAAGATGCTCCAGCAGCTTTCAATGGATTGATCTTCTGTTGCCGACCCTTGACCTCCATGCCTCGATATTCTGTCTTGAAACCGTGGATTACTGAGCATTTCATCACCTGGCTCCAAACCAGTTCCCTGGTCTTTGGACTCATTATCAAGGCTTTAACGTTTAATGTTCTGTCCCAAAACTCTTCCCAATCTTGAAGAACTCATCTGGACTTTGAAGGTCACTGCACTTTTCCTTGGCAATGAAGTTAATTTAGCAGCTTGTGAACATCACATAACCAAATCCACAAAACAAGTGAGCTGTGACAGTCGTTACCTGAGCCCTTCGGCGCTGTGATGTCATTTTAAGTCGACAGCAAGTGGCAGTGCAAGGCAAAATGGCCGCCTCCTGAGATGGACATAAAAAAGTTTGGATTTTTCTGCTTAATTCATATTCCACAAGTGCAATATTAATTGGAGTGCCATATTTCGACTGCTAGGGGGTGATAGAACATATTATTGTTAAGGACATTTTTGACTTGACTTCCCCTTTAAGGCTAAAGTCTGGGAACAGGTCTGCTAGAATTCTTGATGAGGAGGCTTTCCTCTAAGAATGGAAGTCTGTTTCTTCCCCATCACGCCCTGGATGGTCATCTCTGATCCACTTGCTCCTGTTCGGCAACCACCATGAGGTCGTCCAATTTCACATCCTGCACTCACCTTGCATCCCTGGTGGACCTTTGGTGTTTGACACTCAGCTCGAACCTCAACCGGACAACTGGTGCAATCTTCGCTTGGAGTTTTTAATGTCACGTTTGCCTCAAAAAAGTTGTCACACTTCTGTACTCACCATCACCTGTTCATGTCAGCTTGAGGCACCCGGTCTTGAAGAAATGTGTTCGAGCCATCTTCTAACGGTGCTCTGCCAACGCATTCCATGCAGCCCATCCAACCCTCTTCCAGCATGCACGGAATGCAACATATTCGCCACACAAGCTAAATGAGAGCCGAGATTCTTCTACTTCTGCTGCAACTATTCTCTTCTTTGTATTTTCCCTCCTTGATGTCAATTTTAGGACTGTTACAGACATTCAAGGGCCACACTGTCCTGCCTGTTTTCCAGCTCTCCTCGGAGCCTCACACCTGATTCAAGTCATCAGGATCATTCTCATGCTGCTTCAGAGCGGGCTGATGAGCTGATCATCTTCATCAGGTGTGTTGCAGTCGGGAGAGCTGGAAAACAGGCAGCACAGTGGAAATCCAGGCCTGGAGCTGGACATGCCTGGAATAAATAATGACACTTTGGCACGGCCAGAGCTCAGACCTGAATCCAATTAAAGTCGAGAGTGTTCCTAGTGGAGTGTTGTCCTCAAGTGATACTCTTACTTTCTGACAGGTTTGAAGCACTTTTATGGTGAAGAAGAGTACATATTTACAACCCAAGATGTGCCATACTGGTAAACTCGTTCCCAAGATTTGTAAAAAAGACGTTTCAACCTTTATTTACTGATGCTAATTTATGCTAGTACGGTAGTTGATTGGTGAAACGTTTTGAATCGATGGACGTAGACTTGAGGACTTTGAGGTGAAACCTTGTAGCTTGTAGTTTTGCAAATAGTTCAGCAGGTGGCAGTAAAAGCAAAGCTATTTTTCTTTCCATGTTCGTGAGCTCTACCTATCACAGCTCCTTTTTGGTCTTCTAAAGTGACTATTTATTTATTTATTGTCACTTTATTCCCAACGCATTTCACGTATGAGGGACAGCTGTGGGTTAGCATATTTTCCATCGTACGTCTCCACCATTTGAGTGGTAGCTGGGCTGGATCTCTGCTGACTTTGGGCAAGAGGTATGGTGCATCCTGGAATCCTCACCAGTCACTCTCAGGGCACAATTGAACCCAGAACCTCAAGTGTGTGGCCCAGGTGCTTAGTTACCATGACTAAACTAATCTGTACAGCTGCTGTTTATCTGAGGTCTGGGTGGCGAAGGCAGCATCCTCAGCAAGGTAGGCCAGACTTCCCTCCCTCCAGCCATTTTCCAGGGGCATCACAAGGCGCTGTGAAATTGACGGATGCGCTATGCCTCGCTGGGCGTTCCGGTGTCACGGCTGCCGCACCACCCGGCGCATCTCGCAATTTGGTGACAAAAACAAGACAACATTTTCGAGTACCTAAAAATGTATTTCCTTCATAAATATGACAACAACGTGGGACAATCCCTCTGAATCATTGGAGAAATCAATTCACTGAGCAAATTCTGATCATTATCACCTCAATAGCACCATCCTGGCCTTGCGGCACAACTCGTTGCTGAAAATGGGTCACACATGGACGCACTGTCATTGGCTACGATTTCACAGGACTTGGTGATGTTCTGTCCTCCAATGGCGCGCAGTTAGACTGCACTTTGCACTAGACTGTCGCAGGGAAGGAAAATAGCGCCCGAGAACTGTACATGAAAGCTTACAATACTCCAGTTAAGACATTACATTGAAAGCGCTCACATCAACACAATTATTACACAATTTTGCTCATCCCAACTATGGCTGTTTCCTTACCGGAAAACCAGTGTTCCTTCAGGAGTCTTCCTGTTGTTTTTATCCTTAATAGTGTGACACATTCCTCAGTGGAGGTAATGGGGTCATCGAACAGAAACAAAGGTCATTGCCGGTGAGGTCTGTCAGCACCAGATCATGTCTCGCAGGAAACGCATGCTAACTGCCATCCTTTTGTTTTTGCTGGAAGAGCACCAACAGAAAGAGAACATCAAAAAAAAAAAAAACATTTGTGATTTTCTCGCCTGAAGCTGTTGTCAATGGGATATGGATCACATTAGTCTCACTCCTTTTTCTTACACACTGAACTTTTTGGAGTTCAACCAGCCTCAAAATTCAAAATTGGCATTATTATCATTTAAGAAAAACTGTTTGTACACTAGCACATTTTATCAAGCAGTAGGGAGGTGTGGTTCTGGAATAGGGAGAAAAATGATAACTATTCTGACGCTCATGCCTGACAGGGGCCCGACAAATGAATACGTTCAATGTGAGTTTCCACTGAAGGTCTGAAAGTGTTTTCTTTTTCTGTTTTCGAATTTCATGACGATATCAATCGACCAACTAATTTCTTCGAGATGACATATCAACAAAGCTCAACATGTGTTCTAATGCTGCCTTCTGACTGACACTGTACTGTGCATACCTGTAGACAAGACTTTCCGCATTAAAAATAAACCGCCACCGAGTGACAGTATTGCACTGCGAAAACCTTGCTGCTGCGCTTCTATCGCGGGCAACAGGCTTCTTTCAAGTGTGAGTAGTTTTACAGTTTATTTGTACAATATACATTCACTCCTCATACTTGTAGTTGGGAAAGGCAAAATATGACTCACGTCGCTTTGGTTGGGTTAGTAAAGGTTTGATGATGCAGGGAATTTATGAATGTTGAATTTACGACTTGGAAGTCAACCAGCATCCTGAATTGGATCCACTAGTTTGTCACATGACCGTTGGAAAGCACAACCGCTGGGGTTAATTTGAAGCTCCCGGCCTAAATCTCACGTCCTTTTTAATTGCCTGCAAAAGGATGGCGGTACACGAGGAAAACAAGGACAGGGGTGCAGGAATGTCACAAGTGGCTATTGGCGGGTTAGTGGTGCAGTTACCATCTCCCTGTTATGTTTTGATCTCCGTTTAATTCCCAATCCACAGCTCCAAGACTGCCTCATATCCAACAATTGTGCTGTAATAAGGCGGTTACACAAGCGCTCTGGCCCAGTTAGCCAGTGACCTCTCTCCTTTCAGCGTGAGTCAAGTGTGTGTCTGTGTGTGTGTATGTCTGTGCATCTGCTTGTGTATGTCACAGAGACACAGTGGTAGAGAGGCAGGATATGAGCTGTGAAAAGATGGAAGTGGGTCAGAGTCACCCTGCTCTCTTTCTTGAGTCCTTCCTCAGGTAGGAAGCAGAGATATCAGCAAGTTTTTAGCGCCTCTATGTGTGCGGATGAGTGTGTGTTGGGTTGGAGTGGCAGATGCTTTGGCGTGACACTCCTCCATCGTGTGAACTAAAATAGCCACGTTTGCTCCTGTTTGTTTTAATGAGACAATTTTCGAAACAGCCTTATCCTCACGAGGGTCGCTAGTGTGCTGGAGCCTATCCCAGCTGTCTGCGGGCAGTAGGCGGGGGACACCCTGAACTGGTTGCTGGCCAATCACAGGGCACACACAGACGAATAACCATCCGCGCTCACACTCACACCTAAAGGACAGTTTAGTGTGTTCCATGAACCTGCCACGCATGTTTTTGGAACGTGGGAGTAAACCGGCGTACCCGGAGAAAACCCACGCAGGCACGGGGAGAACATGCAAACTTCACACAGGAAGGCCGGAGCTGGAATCGAAACCTGCACCTCTGCCCTGTGAGGCCGACGTGCTAACCAGTCACCCGTGGTGCCGCCCGAGACAATTTTTACTTTTTTTATATAAAGAGGACTCTATTTAGATAGATAGCATATCTGCGCTTGCCCATAACAACTGCCACATATTGTTTAATGTGCCGGTGCAAGCATCTTTTAGTGTGTTTGGAGAATTCGGCAAACAGCAATGCTCCATACTGGGTGTTCTGGCGGACTCAGGGCATTTTCATTTCCTCGGCTCCTGCACACTTGACAATTTGGTGTCTGAAAGTAGAGTCAACTTTAGACCAGGTGAAAGCAGGTCTAAGTTGTGGCACAGGTGCTGTAAGATGAGTTTGGTAAATTCGATAGAGGTGCAGCCAGACAGATTCTGAGATCATCATATATGTGCGGTGGAAGTTGTTGTATTTCATTCATCAGACTTTCTGAATCATTATTGAAATCAATGCAAGTGCCAATTTCACAGTGATGACCTGTGATTGCCGTGGCTAACTTTGCACTGCCCACCTCTGGAGGTCTGCTTGCAGTTCCTTATGAACAAACATGGTGTGATTTGGCCTTCTGCATGGACTCTACTGTGTTTATTTCTGTTTTCGCAATCTCAAAGACTATGTGCCACTGGTGCATTGATTTTAAAGGAAATGAGAGGTGTGCTATTCACCAGAATTATGCCAGCAAAATACATAGATTGGTGATGTATGTATAATCTGTGTACCATTAAATGTGGCAGAGTCACTCAAAGTTTGATGACCATTTAAATGAAAAATAGGACCCAGGGGAAACATGCATCACTGTTTGCAGCCCTAGTATTTTTTTTAGGTACCAGAATACAATGTATTGTCAATGGCAACCCGCATTAAAAGAAGCAAACCCAATCTATTCTTATCCTGCTCCTATTT